CCCCTCAACCTGTCTTTTTAAGACAGGGCTTCTTCCTGTAGCCCTAGCTGTTCTGGATCTAACTCCATAGACCAGGCTGGCCTTGAACTCACAGAGATCCTGCCTCTACCTCCTGAGTGCTGAGTACTACCGTGGCCTGGCAAGCACTTCCTACGTGAATGCTTTGGATAATTCTAGCATGCTCACCAGTGCAGTAAGCTCCAGGCTGGTGGGCATCACTGAGACACATCCATGAGCAGACACGGTTTGAAGACCAAGATTGATTAATGATTGTAAAGGTCTTTTAGCCAATTCTGGCGCAGAAGTTACTCTGCTATACTTAAGCTGGAGGCCCAGATTTAGCTGCCTTTTCAAAACACATACATAGTTTTTCACTGGTGATACAAACTAGCAGCCTGGCCTCACATGGCCTTTCTGTCTCCTGATTACTATCCGTCTCTTTCTTAACTAGTACCTTACTGGATTTAAAGCCACTGTGATAAAATGTCCAAGTCCTAATTAGCTGCACGACAGCAGTGCTTCCTAGCATACCTCCTTTGAGAACGAGGTCCCCGGGCACAGGCCTCAGCCCGTACTCCTCGATTCTCCTGCTCACCATGTTATTCCACACATAGCTCTGATAACTATGGATATACATCAAGCGATTGTTTCTTGGTATCTGCAGAGAATAGAGAAACAGACAAAGGAACAATTCTGAACACTTAAAAGTGTTATTTTCCCAGATATTTTGCTCATTTTGTGGTAATTCTAACACAAGAAACTAACATTTCATACCTGATGTGGGGCTGGGAATGTGGCTCAGTGGGCAAGCACTTTAAGGTGTCTTGAGTTAAGCACACATGTGGGCTGTGTTTACCAATATGCTCCCCTTTACTTGAAAGCACACTGGCAGCCTCTTAGCTACTTCCTGCCCAACTCCCTCCCTTGGGCAGGTGAAAGCTCCAGTGCAGACACAACCAAGACATGATTGTACAATAGGCTCAGTGGGTGAAGGGACTTGTAGCCAAACCTGACTACCTGAGTCTGATCCTCAGGGACATAATATAAAGAGAGAATGGACTCTCACAGTTGTCCTGACCTCTGCCTGTGTGCTCAGGTAAATGCTTGTGCACTGCATGAGCACAGAGGTTAACTGCAGCCTTATAAGAAAGGACCATTCAGTGGGTTCTGACATCTCAAATCCCATGCAGCTACATTAAGTATTTCCCACAGATACTTTCTTGTGCCTCTAATGTCAACAAATGCTGCCATCATTTCCCACATCAATCTGCTTTCAGGATCAGAATGAGGTACATCCTTGTAAACTCCTCTGAAGACTACTAAGGATTCTTATTTGCTGTTCTTTCAAGGTCATTTTAAGATTATGTTTGAAAAGCATTGACCACCTCTGAGTCACCGCCTGGCTTCCCAGATTGCACTCACTATGCCAAACGCAGAGACTATATTCTTCATTCCATACTGTGAAAGTCCGCGGAGCAGCTGCCCTTCCACACACCTTTTCACGGGGAGCTTTTTCAGGGCGGAGGCGGGGTCTTTGTTCTTGGCCCACTCTTCTCTGCATTTCACCAAGTAACCCTTCTCAGCTGCGGGAGAGAGAGGCCACGCCACACTTTCCACCAGAAATGGTGCATCACTCAATGTGCTTCATAGGAACCTAACTCCGGGAGAGGATTTCCTCATGATGAGGAGGCTCACAGCCGCCCACGGCAAGCACACAAGCCCCGCAGGGCGTGTACGTCTCTCTAGCTCTGTCATCAGCCAGAGTTCCGACTCATGGCTACCGCAGCTAATCCAGTTTCTCCTTCTCTTGCCCCTGTCCTGTCAAGTTTAATCCTTTCTTTAAAAACAAAAACATTTTTTTAGCTTGCAAATGAAGTTACCTAAAGCAAGTATTATTATCTTAAAAATTTAAAAACTATCAGTTAAATCCCTCTTTCACAGTGTAGTTTTAGAGATATTTCCTGAAAAAATTTTAATTAACTTAAAAAAAAAAACCCTTAAGGTATTTTGCCAAGATTGTGTATTTTATTATACTACGCTTTAGCAAAGCAGCCATACATATAAGTTTCCTATAAGTCAGAGAATCTGAAGTAGCCATAGAGAAATTAATTTACTTCAAATACATTAAACCATGCATGAATAAAGAGCTAAAACTAGGATACAGATTTTAAAAATTCAATCCCATATGCAAAACCATGAAAATAAACAGCATTAAAATTTTGGATATAAAAAAAATCAAGAACTTTAAACTAACAACAACCTGCACTTAAAGCGACCCCATGACTGTCTAGTTACATATTCTATGTGTTTATCTTTACAGAAATCTTTCTCACCTCCGGAGCGGGGTTTCAATATTAAATCCATGACTTCTGTCCAGGAATTTTGTAGAATTGCTCTAGATTTAAACAGTATTTACATTAGTTAACTTTGCATACAATAAGCTTTATCTGCTCAAAGTGACACTTCTTTGTTTTTTAAATGTAAAGTATGCAGTAAAATGATGATACAGATTCAGTGGCCATTACCTACTGTAAAAAGCTTTATCGGGCTGGGCAGATGGCTCTCTTCTTAAGAATGCTTATTCCTCATGCAGAGGACTAGATTCCCAGCGCCTACCTCCATCACACACTGCTGCCTCTAACTCCAGCTACAGGGGACCTACTGCCCCCTTCTGGCCTCTATGTGCATGACACTTAATATGCTCGACCCCCACAAACACGCATTTACATATTTTATCAGTTCTGCTGAAGACCTGAATTCTGTTTGTGAATGCCTGGCCATATATGGGACATGGATATCATCTCCTACAATGAGCATCAAAGAGGAAGGGAGTAGAAAGAATGTATAAGCTGGAAGGGGTGTGGGGAGAGAGGTAACTTCTGAGCAGGACAGTCGGTGGCACTCTTTAGCACTCAGCAGCTGTGATTATTCACACAAGCTCCCCAGAATACGGGGGCCTGTCAATACTCTGTCACAGAATGGAGTAGGGCTCATGCACACTCTCTTCAGTGATAAGGTACCCGTGCTCCTGTAAAGAACTCTCATGAACTTGAGGGACACATATAGAACACATGTGTAACAGGGAAGCAAGCCGGGAAGCAGCTGGGATCACAGGGTGGGCGTGAGGACAGAGGCAGTGCAGGAGAACATCACTGACTGTGTACACATGAAACAATGAAACCAGTTAGAATATGTAACTAACATATGCCAACAAAAAACATTAAGAAAGGTAAGGGCTATCCTTTGGGTCAATGACATAGCTTTTCATACATTGCCTTTCTATACTCTGGATACAATTACTCTTCTGTTTAATGATATGCTGAGAAACCCTATGCTGATAACAGTAAGTTCTTTTAAGGTAGGAAATAGTCTGACAATTATTTGTTGTGAAAACAAATCATTTGAAACTCTGAACTAACTTGTGCTGACCTTTGGGGATACTCTGCAACTTCTGTTTCCAAGGTAACTCTGACAACACTTTACTGAGCAATTATTTACACTAATATTCTTTGGGATACACAACTATAGGGTCACATGGCTGTTCTGCTAAATTAATTAAAAATATTAGGAACAGGCTGACACAAGCCTTCCCTAAGTGCTCCGTCCCACAGCAGCCAGCATCTCCATGACACTTCTGTGTACTTTCTGAGACAGCGTGGTGGATTTTCCCTCTTCAGGTGCTGGAGAGCTTGTCTAGGGCCCAGCATATGCTATGCAAGCACTCTGCAGGCTCAGGCACGGCCCAGCCCTAAACTTTGTTCTCTTTGCCTTTCTCTATATCATCAGCAGATGGGTCCTTCTGTTGCCCAGGCTGTCCTGTCCTGTCCTGGACGCCACTGTGCCTGCCTGGCCTTAAGTTAGAAATATTTCTATTTTTCCTTTTACAATACTGCTTGAAAAAAGCGCCACATGGCAGACCAAGCTCTTGGTCCTTGTAAAATCATACAAACAAATACAACCTGATGCTGAAAGCTGAACTAGAGAAAACTCTTTTTACTGCTGTACAACTAGTGTGCTTGTGCAGCCCTTAACCAGTGCGTTTGCTCGGACCTCCTGAAATGTAGCCTCTGCCTGTCAGTGCCGAGACAGGACCAGGAACAATGTTCTCAGACTGCACTCAGTGTGTACTGCCAGTGTGCCAGCTCCCACAAGGAGAGTTACTGTATGTAGCACAGTCTCTGCTGTATAGTGGCATTCCCACTGGACACTTATGAAACCAAGTGTTCATTGATGAGATTTCTACTCTAACTTACCCTGGAGGGCTTTCCTATTATTATCTAAATCTGAACCAAGCTCTTAAATTGCACATTACTAATTATGTCTTCTAGAGTTTTCTTGAGTGGGTGGGGGTAGGGCAGATGAAAGATGAATCACACATGTTAAGAGAGATGACAGTGCACACGCCTTGGGTCTGTGTACTCTGAATCTGTGTTATCCTGTTTTTTTAATCGTGTCTACTTACCTGTTAAAAAGTAACAGAGAAGACCATTAGTCCTAGCACTCGGGAGGCAGAGACATGCAGATCTCTGAGTTCAAAGGCAGTCTGGTCTACAGAGTGAGTTCCAGATAGCCAGGGCTACACAGGGAAACCCTCTCTTAAAAAATTGAAAATTAAAAACAAACAAACAAAACTCTGAAAACTAAGAGATCCTCCCCCCGGACAAACTGTTAATAGTGGGGGGAAAAAATTTAAATTTAAGTCACATCTTTTCAACTGTGTCTGTGCGTCTGTATGAGTGTGAGTGTGTGTGTGTGTTATACATAAGCCTCTAGTGATCCAGGGATGTACTCGTGTCCACTTTGCCAACACTAGGGTCATAGAGGTTGTAGCACACCTGGCTTTTCTGTAGGTGCAGTGGACCTGAAGGCAGGTCCTCATCTCACTATGTAGGTCTGGTTAAATAGTGAGACAATGTCTCAAAAAGCAAAACAAAATAAAACAAAAAAATTAAAACAAATAAACACATAGAAAGCACAAAAACCCTGAAATAAAAAGATAAAAAGGAAAACGTTGGAAAATGGAATCCGAACCTTCCAACCTGGTACGTCGGCACGGCTGTGGTCCCGAACCTCTGCATGCCGTAGTAGTTGACGAAGCCGGTCTCCTTCAGAGAGAGCATGGCTTGCTGCACTTGCTCGTCAGTTCCTGTTATATTCCTGCAGGACCCAAATCACCAAAGAAAAAAAACGGAGAGCCAAGCACATTTTATGGTGCACATTATAAGGGCAGCTTCTACATTTCATCCTTTATCTCCCTCCCAAGGACTTTGTTGGTTCATTGATGTGATAACATAAATTTACCATTTTTGAGACAGGTATCTCTCTATGTAGCCCTGGCTGTCTTGGAATTTGCTTTGTATACCAGGCTGGCCTCGAATTCCCTTGAATTCCACTGCCTCTGTGCTTTAATCCTTAGTGCTGGGATAGAAGGTGTACACCACCATCGTCCAGCACGCTTCAGTCAGCTTTAAATACCAATTATTATAGCATAAAGCCCATGTGCAATGTGGCGCAGCACCTACCACCATGTAGTTCCCAAATGTCTGCACTGTCTCCAAATTCATTCATTCATTCATTCACTCATTTTGCACACTCTTGCTATATATACGTATAGGCCCTGTCCAGGTTGCAATCCATGTAGACCAGGCTGACGCTGAAGGCAGTGTGATTTCCTGCCTCTGCCTACTGAGTGCTGGGATTACAGGCATGTGCAACTATGCCTGATTCCAAAGTGAAACTTATACCAACAATTAACTCTCTACCAAAGCAAGCGTTAATCTTTCTATGAACATGTTTATTCTAGGCACCTCATACAAATCAAATCATACACTTTCATATCATATCTTTTGGTCTGTATCTGAAGGACACAATGTTCCTGAAGGCTATGGGAAGCTTTTCAGGGAGGGACATAGACCTCAGGGAAAATACTACACAGTGTTTGTTCCTCACACCTACAGGTCTTGCTCTCCTGGCCTTTCTATCTGACCCAGGTACCATGTACCCAATCAGCAAATGTGCAGACAGACTGACTCCTGGAGCCCTGATACCAGCCCGGCTCTGCTCTCCTCCCACCCAGCCCTGCCCCAGGTCTGCACTCCTCCCACCCCAGCCCTGCCCCGGCTCTGCTCTCCTCCCACTCCAGCCCTGCCCCAGCTCTGCTCTCCTCCCACCCCAGCCCTGCCCCAGGTCTACACTCACACTGCTGTACTTTACCTGAGAACAACAGTGAAGTGGTTTCCTTGAAGCTCTCCTAACTTCAGAGGGTTTTTCTGGTAGCTGAAATTCCCGAGCTTAAAGTTCATCAGGCACTTATTCAAGTGGGCAAGTCTTTGTGCACTTATTCTTTAAAGAAAGAAGGAGCAGAGAAGGACCATGAGTTCCCACAGAAGACTAGAGCACACCAGGGCTGTGATTTTAGGGAGCCCGGCAGGAGGTAGCATGGTACAGCTTCCCTTGCCCACTGGATTATTCCCGCACACAGCAGCGGTATGGGATGGGTGGGGCTTTAACCCCAAGGAGAACATGTAAGTAACTAGAGGTGTCTACTCTCTGTGAACTGGAGACGGCAAAGCTCATGGTGCTGCCGGACAGCAACCCACATAACTGTAAAGAATGGTCGCTAACATTTTGGGCTAGTAGGAAAAATGCTGCGAAACTTTTTTTTTTGGTTTTTTGAGACAGGGTTTCTCTGTGTAGCTCTGGCTGTCCTGGAGCTCACTCTGTAGACCAGGCTGGCCTTGAACTCAGAAATCTGCCTGTCTCTGCCTCCCAAGTGCTGGGATTAAAGGCGTGTGCCACCACCGCCCAGCTTTTTTTTTTTTTTTTTAAGATTTATTTATTTTATATATGTGAGTACACTGTTGTTCTCTTCAGACACACCAGAAGAGGGCATCGAATCTCATTATGGATGGTTGTGAGCCACCATGTGGTTGCTGGGATTTGAACTTAGGACCTCTGGAAGAGCAGTCAGTGCTCTTAACCGCTGAGCCATCTCTCCAGCCCCTGCTGCAAACTCTTAACGAAAAAACAACTTGGAAATACAAAAACACGGAGAAGAAAGTGCATTGGCTCATCCCTGGAAAAGCAGCCGATCTCTGTATTTCCTCGCTCTTGTAAAAGGACACTGAAGATGTGCACAGCTAGACTCACGCAACCCCATGCCCTGCTATTTTATACAAGCATTTCCCATGCTGTTAGAGTTGTCCCATTAGAAAGTCTTTTGTCTTCCTAGACAGAAAATCTACGCAGAAAAGCAAACAGCACACTGAAAAGTCTTGTTCTTTCTTTACCCCATAACCCTCCTCACTGGCTGCTGTTAACAGGTTTTTTCTTTAGTTTATTTTTAATTATGTATATGCACGCATGTGTATATGTGGATAAGTACAGGTGTTCCCGGAGGTCAGTCATTGGATACCCCTAGACCCAGAGTTACAGGACCATAAACTGCCCAGTGTGGGTGCTAGGAACCAAGCTCAGGTCCGCTGTAACAGCAGCATACACTCTTTGCTGCTGAACTATCTCTCTAGCCTCCTTCCCGGGTAGTTTTGAAATAAGATTAATAGTAACATAAATATATAAATAAATAACAAAAGATGTTTATTTCAGAGGGCTTCATGTTCTTGATATATAAAAATTTTGAAAATGCTAAACGTTATATTTTTAATAAAAAAAAAAAAAACATAGTCAGGGCTGAAGACATGGCTCAGTGGTTAAGAGCACTTGCTGCTCTTCCAGAGGACCTAGGTTTGATTCCTAGCACCTATATGGAACTCCAGTTCCAGATCCAATGTTCTCTTCTGATGTACACAGGCACCAAGCCTGTGCACACATAGGCAGAATACTGGCACATAAAATAAGATGAACAAAACAACAACAACAGCAACAACAACAACAACAAAACCAAAGCCAAAAGCCCCTGTAAAGGCTATAAAAAGGCCATCCTGGTTGGCCTAGGGTCAGTCCCACGTCAACCAAGGTTACACAGTGAGACCTGCCTAACAAATAAAACCCAAAACCCTTAAAATATAATATACAGATCTAAAGGTGCTAGCTTTCACCCCCATGCCAGTCACTTGACATCACCTCCTTGAAGGGCTTCCATGCATATCTTTGGATTAACCCGAGTACAAATGGAGTCCTTAGGTCTATCTAGGCTCCAAGAATCCAATTTATTTCAAGTTTGTATCATGGACTAGTTGTTTCCAATTTTCAATTATTAGAAACAAGGCAACATAATACACCTTGGTGCCTAAGAGCATGGTTTTAATTTGTCCCATGTCTATGAAGTGACAGGTACTCCGTCAAACGGCAGAGGCTACTGGCTTGAGTCTGCCAGTAGCTTCCAACATATTTATATATGTGTGCACATTTATGTTTATGTGTGTACATGTGAATATTTATGTACATTTGTGTGTACATTTGTGCATGTATGTCTATGAAGACAGGACTGTGAAAGCACTGGGGGTGTGGCTCTGTCCCCACACAGCTGCTTAAGGACTGGTTGCACAGGCCTCTCCAGTTCCAACCCCTGGGGAAATAATAGGACCACTTTGCTCTACTCTTTGATCAAAGTAAACAAATCAAGAAAGAAAATGAACCTATGTACACTTTTAGAATTCACCTTCACAGGGCTGGAGGCGTGGTTCAGTACTGCTGCTCTTCCAGGATCAAAGATGGTTGAGGATCTCAGCACCCACACCAGGCTACTTACAAACACTTGCAACTCTAGCTCTAGGGGATCTGATGCCCTCTTCTGGCTGCTGAAGGTACCCCACACAGGGCACACACACAAATTAAAAATAAAACTTGAAAACAATTCACCTGGGGGTGGAGAGATGGTCAGTGGTTAGAGCACCTGTTGCTCTCGCAGGAGACCCACGTTGGTCCTCAGCACTCACACTGTGGCTCACAACCATCTGTACCTTCAGTTCCAGAAGATGTGACCCCTCTTCTGACTTCTATGGGCACCAGGCATGCACATAGTGCACATACACAGAAGTTAGTAGGGATTTTAATTGTTACCGGGTTGATCAGTCCTGGGATAAGCAACTTTTCTTTCCAGCTTCTTGCAACTCTGATTTACTTTGTAACGTCACCTCTAATGAACTTTGTAATCGCAAACTGCCATATTCAGAGTGACTTGCTCTGTCACACAATGTATGTGTATGTGTATTCATGCACATACAAATAAAACACAGTTTTTAAAATTACCTATATAATATCTGAGCTCTGGAATTCACGTTATTTCAGTACTAGGTGAAACCTGATCACAAGTGCCCCATCCCCTGTGAAGCGGTAGGGCCTCACACAAACCAGCGCAAGCTTGAGCAGGGAGCAGAGGGCTGCCAGGTGCCAAGCTGCAGCAGGCCCTTGAATCGCGGTGTGGAGGGAGGATGCTGAAAGTCGAAAAGGACCCACAAAAGCAGAGGCTCAGCATAAACAGAGTGGGGACCTGATGGAGCTCTGCAGTCAGTAGACACTGCCAGAGAAAGGAACAGTGTTTCAGAGCAGGAACAGAACAAATAAGAAAAATAAAAATAAGCAAAAGCAATAGACGGGTAAAAAAGAAGCACACTGTGAGCCTGGCTATCCTGTGACTTTGGAAGATGGTTTCTTACTAGTGCCAGGAAAGAGCCTGATGGTTGTTTTTATCTTCTCTTTCTTTCTTTGCTAAGATAGGGTCTCACTATGAAGCCTTGCTGTCTGGAATTCCCTATGTAGATCAGGCTGGTCTCCTGGAGATCTGCCTGCCTCTGCCTCCTGAGAGAGCGTGTGGTTCAAGGTGAGTGCCCAGCCTTGTCCTTTTCTAAAAACATAAAACTCAGCCTCTTAGCTGTTTTCAGAATGTACTCACAATGTGTGCAGTGTGTCTCCACCACCTGAGAAAGAGATCCCACCCAGTTAGTACTGGCTCCACGGACTCTAACCTTCCCTGTGACTGTTACGGCTCTTTTTGTGTACAGATTTCCCCATTTTGTACATTTCATGTAAATGGAAAAGAAATCAAATAATGATTTCTTTTTTAAATGCCTGACTACTTAGTGTAATTTTTTATTGTTTTTAAGTGTCAGGGTCACCCTGGGCAACCCAGGCTGCCTTCAAACTTGCTATTCTCCTGCTTCAGTCTGCAGAGTGGTAGAATTCCTGGCCTGTGACAACGTCCCCAACAATGCAACAATCTTTGGCTTACTATGCCGTAAGATATGCTGGTATGTCACTCTTTCTTTACAGCTGAAGAACATCCTCTTCCCCAACACACAATGGACTCGTGCGAACGCCCAGAGCTGTATTTAGTTCTTAAAGGTGAAAGTGCTCACTGACCACACTGTTCACCAATTCTGGGGAACACAGAGCAAACACTTTTGGTTGTAAATTCATGTGTGACAATCTTGTTTTTAAGCTGACCTTAAACTTAAACTGACCTGTTATACAGAAGCCTTTAGTAAAACAGCCCAAGAAATACTGGCCCAACCTCAGATGGGAGCAGGCCGGAAAGGAAGCAAGTCACTCTGAATATGGCAGTTGAGATTACAAAGTTCATTAGAGGTGAAATTATGAAGTAGAACAGAGTTGCAAGAAGCTGGAAAGAAAAGTTGCTTATCCCAGGACTGATCAACCCAGCAATAATTAAAATCCCTATGTGGCAGAATAGGCTTATCCTGTTCATCAGTTCTCATGGGAAAGGCCAATTTACCCACCACACGGGTCCATTAAGCAAGTGCAGGGTATAGCCTGTATCCTTGAGATAAGTGCAACATGCTTTCAGGAGGCCAGCATGTAGAAGTCAGTACAGCTCTTCATGTGCTTTTGTTTGTTTGTTTTTCAAGACAGGGTTTCTCTGTGTAGCCCTGGCTGTCCTGGAACTCACTCTGTAGACCAGGCTGGCCTTGAACTCAGAAATCCCCTGCCTCTGCTTCCCAAGTGCTGGGATTAAAGGTGTGTGCCACCACTGCCTCATGTGCTTTCTAAAGGCCAGCATTTAGATGTTGATTGTAGTTCCTCACAAAGTCAACAGGAAAATGCAAACAAGCTATGAGGACAGAGCAATACCCTCCACAAACTCTGGCTGAGAAAGAGAGTCCAGTGCTCCAGTTTAAAAATTATTCCTGTCTCCTTAACCTAAAACTGACCTTGCATGTAATTTAAATGACATAAAAGCAAAAAAGGAGGAGGAGGGATGGCATGGGGGTTAATGGTGGGGATGGGGAAAGGGGATAACATCTGAAATATAAATAAATAAAATATCAAATAAAAATGCAAAAAATTATTATTGTTAATTTTTTGGTTTTTCAAGACAAGGTTTCTTTGTGTATCCTTGGCTGTACTGGAACTTGCTCTGTGGACAAGGCTGACCTTGAATTTATAGAGATCCGCCTGCCTCTGCCTCCCAAGTGCTGGGATTAAAGGCGTGCGCCACCGCTGCCCGGTGTGCAGCATCTATTTACCTAAAAATAACAAATGTCCTAGAAGTCTGTCTTTCCTGTATGGATGTCATGCTATCTGCATGATTCAAAGTGTAGCATGTATGCTGCGGAAGGGGCACACAGGAAGTTGTATTTCTTACTACAAGCCCACAAAGCTACTCAGCAGGCAGTAATGTATTGTATGCCACAGGTTCTTCTAATATTGATGTAAGCTATTTTATTGGTTTGGAGATAACAACCTAAATCGTCCCCCCCCCCAAGAAACATCTCACCTTCTAGAATCAAAACTGTTAGTTCTTACCCACGGGCAATTCTGCCTCTGGCCTGCCTCCAGGGCATGCTAGACGAGTCTGGAGAGAGGAGCAGGGGCCTGTTATGTGCTCATCATATGGACAGGACAGAGATCAGAGAGGCTTCTAAATATCTTACAACGAGCAGACTGGCCTTCATAGTAAGTCCCAGGCTTGCCGTCAGACTGACTAAAGCCCATCTCGCTCCAGCAGGGTTCTACTCATCTGTCTGTCCTGTTGTATAATTACTTCAAAAGCAGGCCCATTGTTCCATCTGTGTGTGTACACACAAAGCTCTTAGTCACTGTTTCCTAGGTGATACTAAAGGACACATGCTGACGTTTAATAAATGAGAGAAAGGCGTACTTATTCTTTTGGCTCTATCGCAAATAGCTTTCTAAATTACTGAAAAAAAAAAGGAAAACAAAAAACCCAAACCCCAAACAAATAAACAAAAAACCCAAACCATGTTTGATAGATTAGGAAACAGAGAGAGATTCAGGCTGAGAAAAATAAAGTAGAAAATAGTATCTACAGAAAAGCAGGAGCTGAGCTAGCAGGCTGCCTCAGCAGATACAGGCATCTGCTGCCAACCCTGAGTCTAATCCGAAGGAGCCACAGGGTAGGAGAGGATGGATTTCCTCCTGTGGTCCTTGACTTCCACAAACATGCTACTGTGCATATGTACATATGCACACATAGCAAATAAACATGTCTACAAGATTTTAAAGGCAGAGAGACCATATGAAGCTGAAAGCAGTAAGTTTGGTAAAGCAGAGCTGAGGCTGTGCCTATCAGCCTGGACAGGCACTGGGGAGGGAGCTCCACTTACTTGAGAACAGCAATCTCCTGAACTGTGATAGCCCTTTTGTCTTTGGTTCCCATATAGGAGAATATGTTTGGTTTTACCCTGATGAGACAGAAACAAAGCAATGTGAAGTCACATACCATAACCAAAGCATATTTCTAATAACTTAAGTCTCAAAATACATACACTAACACATTAAGAGAATAAGGAGAAAAACCCAGAGGAGGCTAGACTCCCAGGAGCTCTAACACACCCAGGAGTGTAGGATTCTGAAGGAGCATGGTGGCTGCCAGAGCGACAGGTGAGACATGCTGGTGACGGGACAAAGAATGATGCTGACCTGTGAGCTTGCTGAGTGCCCTGACAGTGGTGACTGGGAAGCTGTATTGGACAAATGTTCCTGACCCACCTTTGCTTACCTATACCTCTGATGGGACAAGCTGCCTGGCCTCAAGTTCTTAGACCTTGTAGAATAGAGAATCAAAAAGAGAAGTTATAATGACTCTTGTATTGTTCTTAAATGTGACCAGTTATTCGGACTCAATCATAGATAGGTCTAGAAATCAATCCAATGTTAGAAATAACAGTCTTCATTTGGAAGTCTGATTCTGGACATTCTCAGAGACATATTTGGAAGTTAGCTGCAGTTCTCTATGATGTTATGTTACTAAGAGATAAAGTTGGGACAGGATCTGGATTTCAAACATGTGTTAGCACAGGTGTTAAGGCTCCTTTAATTGTCAAATTAAAATTACTTTAGTTTCTTCTACAGTATTTAATGTAAGTTGCATTGACTGTACACCTTCTAATTGTGTTAGTGTTTTGAAATCTGCCATGTCTGTTACGGAGGTCTATCAACCAGCTTTTGTTTTATTGCCCTGAGTACCACGGAACCTTGGTATTCTAAAAATAGCTTGCAAGTACTGAAGAAATGAGTCAGGCTTTAAGCAGAAGCAAGAGAGTAGTGGGCTTAATTATTACTGGTATAGCAGCTTTAATTACATTAATTGCTAGCACCACTGCTTCTGTAATTGCCTTGACACAAGAAGTTAATCATTTAGCAAAAAATGTTACTAATATGTTGAATATACCAGAGGATTTAGATAGCCATTTGGAAGAACGGATTGATGCTCTTTATCCTATTCAAATTATTGGAAGGAGGTTCAGAGTTTAAGAATAAGGAGCCATCTTGAGTGTCATGCCAAATACCACTGGATTCATGTTAGTTTTGAAATTTACAGTGGTAGTCATTATAATTAGGAAAAAGTTTAAAGACACTTGCAGTGTATTTGGCATAATTCTAATACCTCTCGGATGTTTTAACTTTACATAGTGAGCTTATGAATTTCAAGAATATTGCTCTGCTGAGTGTTGATGCAGTAGATACTGCTGATAAAATTACCCATGGCCTGAGGTCAGTATTTCTATTTAGGTCCAGCTTCAAGAATGGCATATACAGCTTGATCATGCTAGCCCTTTTTGTCCTGGGAATACTTTTATTCCTGCCCATCATGTTAAAGCTTGTCTTTAACAACATCAACATGTTGGCAGCCAAAGTACATGGCTTGAACCTGAAAATGGACCCCAGACAGTTATTAAATTAATAGGCTGGCAAACCAAGGATGGGTAAGATTCTGCACAGAGCCTTACCAACCTAAGACAGAAGTGCATTGCTTTTGATAATGCATATTCCATGACGGGTAAGGAATGCATTCTTGTTAGAATGACCTAAGACATGCTCAGTCTTGTTAATGAAATAAAAAACGGGGGGAGGGGGAGAGCCTTTGGGGCTGCTTGGCAAGAATCTGACATGGGCCAAAGACAAGGAAATGGGCTGCTTGGCAGGAATATGACACTGGCTAAGGACAAGGAAGTAGGCATCATGCAGGAATCTGACATTAGGCTAGAATAAAGAAGTAGGCTTCAGACATGAAAATGACTTTGGGACCCAACCTAAAAAAGGGGAATCCTGCCCCTAGACTAAGCAGAGAGGGACCACCCTGAACCCCCTCTGACTGGGATCTGAATTCTTGCTTAGGCTGTGAGGCTAAGCACTGCAAGGGAATATAAATAAAAGTTAAAGATATCTCTCTGGGTTCCCTGAGGGATAAGCCTGACTGCATAGGGGTTGATGTCAAAAGTATCCCCTCTCCAGGAAAAAGACATTGGGACGGGTATGGCCCTCATGCCTCACTGGACAACAACAGGGGGACCAGAGCCATTACAAAGTCCTCTTCAACTACTGTAGGTCAGGCCTCTATCCCCGCCTTCGCAAGTTTAGAATTGCCACAGCCCTTCTATACTTAGAGAAGGGAGGAGATGTCAGGGGCAGCCCTGATTACACACTGTAGGCCTAAAATCAGCCATAGGCCTAAAATCAGCAATAGGCCTGTCATACATGTATACTAACACCAAGTCTTGGGTCTCAGTGGAAAAACATTGAAACAGATGGCTATAAGCTAATGTAAACAGGCAGCTTTTGTGGAAATTTACCAGCCTGAGTAGTCATAGACCTTGTAAATAGGTAGCCTTGGCAGATAATACCAACTTAGATAAGGACAAGTGAGTCATAGGCAGAGTCATAGTGACCTGTCCTCTGAACCTTCACCCAGCCGATACCTGGTTCTGAAAGATATCTGTTTTCCCCCTGAACACCCACACTCCAGTGTCATCCCCTTCCCCACATCCTGCCTTTCTGTGTTTATAACCCCTGTGTGAATGAATTACGATTTGAGAAAAAATAAATTACTTTAAAAAAAAAAGAAAAACAAAGTCACAGTATCAGTATTCACAGATGATACGATAGTATATGTGTTGCTGCTTATATTTTGAAAGCTGATTAATCCTTTAAAAACTGTTTGTACAAAAGTGTCTTCACATAGATTCTGGGAATCTGTTCCTAGCTGATTCTAATTGGTAAATAAAGATGCCAACAGCCAATAGTTGGGCGTGGGTGACAGACAGATGCAGAACTTTAGGATTCTCCGTCTTGTGATTGGGAGAAAAAGTGGAAGGAGAGTGTGGAGAAGAGACATACAGTGCATAAGAATAGTTCAGGACAGAGAAGCATAGCCGCATTGTGAAGGGGCCAGAAGTGCATGGCCCAGAAAGCTGCCCAACTGTGTCTAGAACAGCCAAGATAAAACAAGAATTAGTAAGTAATACCTTGGGGTTACTGGTGGGTAGTAGAGGTTAACGGCATGGAGGAAAAGCATTGGCCTAGCAATTGTGCATATGACTTAAGACATATTAAAATATAAAGGCAAAAAAGAAAGAAAGAAAGGAAGAAAATGACTTTGGGCTAGGACAGGAAAGTCAGCTCAGATATTTTGGTCATCCTGATAAGCCCTTAGAAACAGTGACCATGAGAGTGTTCATGGAATTTTGTTTATTGTGCTTTGCTTGTTCTTTGACTATTTGTGTTTATTGTCTTGCTTGTTCCTTGACTACTGCATCTATTGTATTGCTAGTTCCTCAAGCTAGAACTGACCTTAATACATCCATGTAATTAAAATGGTATAAAAGCAAAAAGGAGGAGGGGGTGGGATGGGGGAGTTCTAGGGAGGGGAAATGAGGATGACATCTGAAATGTAAATAAATAAAATATCCAATAAAAAAGGAAAAATATTTTAGAATAAAAAAAATCAATATTTTTCACATTGTACTTTACAGAATAAACCACTAATCCCCCCTCTCCCCCAAAAAAAGAGAATAAGGAGAAACTTTATCGAGGAAAATACAAATGAATGTGCAAATTAAAGCAGCAAGAAGCTGCCTTCTCAGCAGGGTTTGATTCAGAGCCTCTGTGGCTATCAGAGAATCAACTGGTGTTCAGACTGAGGTAATCAGGGAAAAACACACAAGTTGCACTCCTCTGTAGTCAGAAACAATTTGTTAAGTTACATAAAACTATGACAGTAAAGGGGGAGACATTCTAGAGGTATAATGTAGCTCTGTAAACATTTTATAGCTTCAGTTTTCAAGATGTTATAGTAATGTGATTTTTACCTTAAATATAATCTATAACTCAACACTTAAATTTACAGTAATATGATTTTTACCTTAAATATAATCTATAACTCTATATTTAAAACACCAAGTGCTAAAACAGGAATCTGGATAGTTCCGATATGAGGACAGAAAAAGTTCCTCAGCAGAGTACTTGCTTACTCCCAGAAGTCCCAACTGTCCATCCCAGAGGAACTATTTCCACCTGTCTACATCATTAGGAGGACCATCTACTCTCCGAACACGAGGCTCTGGTTAGAAGCCACAGACTCTTTTTTCAGGAAGCTAGTAAAAAACTTGAAATGTTATTTAATTAGGTACAGTACTCAGGGCTGACCTGCACTCTCCTCAGGCTCCAAGAGCCCTTGACACCCACCATCTCAGAGTCTACTAACATTTGGAAACAAGGCCTTTAAAGAGATTACCAGGTTACAATGTGGCTTCTAGGCTGGATTGTACATAGAGTTCTAGGACAGACAGGGCTAGTGACCATGCCTGAACATACAAATACAAACGAAATCAAAAAAGAAAAAAAAAAGGAAAAAAAAGTCTATATACTCTGATCCTGAAACCTGCAGCTTCTGGATTTGTGGTAGAATTATGACTGACTTCTGCTGTTTAAGATACTTGGTATTTTGTGATGGCTGTTCTGGAAAACACATACCCTGTATAGCCATTAGAGCTTTTTCATCTTGAATTACTAGCATGGGGATTAAAAAGTTTATTGCAGTACTTCCCAGAACATTACCATTAAGAAGATCATTTGTCATTTACTGATCTCTGATTCCTTTTCTTTTCGCTGCACTCTCACAGAAAGACAGAATACACTCTTCCCTTACCACTCTATGTAAGAACAAGAACGACACTAACCGCAGGTACTTGGACAGGACATTGATGGCATCCATGGTGTCTTTGTTTTCCTTGTAGAGAACAAAGTGGCAGTAACTTCCCCGGGACTTTGGCCAAGAATGTTTTCTTGGATCTTAAAAACAACAACAAAAAAAGTTTAAATGTCATATATACTGTAAAAAACTCTCTCTGACTTGGGATAGTCTATTTGTTAGAACCGTTCTTTTAACTGAATATTTCAATCATGCTACAATCTGGAAACACGTTTTAAATAATGCAAGATTTAGATTTAAACTACTCAGAGTAAAAAAAAATCAGGACTCAGAGAAAACTAAACTGCAGCTACAATTTACAGACACTGCAAGTATTCACAAGCTCTATCCAACAGAGGAGGGCTGGTTGTCCAGGAGTGTATCTAGTTTCAATGGCACAAAACTCTAAGAAAGAAAAATTATAAAAAAGGATTTTGTATAATCAACTAGAAGAATCCCTTTGTTTTGAAATTTTTTTCCTTTGTCCTTAAACAAGTCTTTTCACACAAACTTAGAAATCCTTTATGTTCAGAGGCAGAAGATATTCCTGGTACGGAAATTAATGGAACATCTGGCTTTGTCAAGCAAAACACTTTTTGGTACCAGGTTAGTGATTTTATCTACAATGTAAAGAACCATCAACCAGTATAGACAAGTAGTAACCCACCTCAGAAAAGCACCACAGTATGTATAGATGCCAAGAAAATCAGTTTCCTTCATGATGATTATGAGTCATGTGTAGAAACAGTCTGTACATTCATGTATAGAAAAATATTACAAGGACCTCTTCAGCTCTTGGAGTGAATTTCTCACAATTTCCATAGGGTTTTGTGAATGGAAATATCTTTTTCATTTTTCCTCTAGCTCATTACCCTTAAGCCAAGTTGTCTGCACTCAGCCCTTATCACAACACTGGCACTTCACCTGTCTACAGGAAACACCAACCGCTCTTACCTGCCGCAGCTCTGACCTCTGTCCGAATGCACAGCATAAAGAGCAGAAGAGAGCAAAGTTTAATTTACAGTACTGTTAGCATGCTTTAGAGGTGAGCATGCACATGATCGCATGGGGACGCTAGACGGAAGACTTCCACAGCACCTAACAGTTCTGTGCTAGTCAATAGCAGTTCAGACGGTGGAATGTGGCAGAGGCAAACACTGAACAACTAGGAAACTCCCCTCTAGGCACAGCCTTCCTGTCTCAGTCTCTTCACAATGAGCATGCTAGACCATCCTCCAAGCCATGCTATCTGCAGCCATAAGATACAGCAAATCCTCAAGTCTACATATTGAATGACTTTTTCTACGGATTTTTTCCCCATAAATACAGAAAGCAATGTCTGAAACACTATGTACGGAGAAGCTGCTGTTTTGCTTCATGCTGTTGTGTGTTTTATAAATTTCCTGCACTGAAATGTAAAAATCTTTAAAATCTGGACACTGCGATTATTAGTTTTCTATATTCACCAAATTATAGACTTAAGTGACTTAGGAGACAAGTCCAGTGAATGCCAGGTTCTGCCCTTGCCTTATCATCATAGATGTCTATAATAAAGTGAAGTGTAACTCATCGGTGACTGCACTGGCCTTTAGTGCAGTTACAGATGAGCACAAGAAACAGTGCAGCTGTGAGCCTACAAACCCAAACGTCTCCTCCCCTGACAGGACACGAGTGAGTGCTGCTGACAAGCACGCATGCACATCCTATTAGCTGATCTAAGCACAGACCATGAATTCAAGGGCCTCTGCAACTAACAAACATTCATGTTCTAGGAATACTCAATATATAAGAGAGTAAACATCTGCACTGGGAATATTCTTTTTTTTTTTGTTTTTTTCGAGACAGAGTTTCTCTGTGTAGCCCTGGCTGTCCTCGAACTCAGAAATCCGCCTGCCTCTGCCTCCCAAGTGCTGGGATTAAAGGCGTGCGCCACCATCGCCCGGCTGGGAATATTCTGAATAAGCAAAAATTCCATCCTTTGGACTCTACACAAACTCCAGCCTCTGGGAACACTAAACAATGTACACTTAACCCAGAAATGTGAATGGAGTTACAGTGTTTTTCCACATTTTTAAGGCACCCTAATTTATAATACATTTGTAAAGAATTCTAAGGCCTGCGATGTGCTTCCTATTTCCACAAGGCTGGTACTACCTCAGGAAGGTATAACATCCCACTCCAGACCTACACAGAGGGAAACCAACCAACAAGGGAGACGGGGGAAATGATGCCCAGAGGTTCTGTGAATATGGAAGGCAAATGGTGGAAGCCTAGGGAAGGCAATATAACAGGGCAGCATGTAGAACCTTCTCTCTGCTTATTCAAGGCCATCTTCATGGAAGCACCCATATGCCAGCCTTCTGCTTCTCAGTATCTACTCCTCCCACTGCCTTTATGGCTGTCCTTGTGTCTGCACCTGCCCCTTTTTCTAGCCCTTGCATTTGATATTTAAAATACACTCTCGACTCCTTATCTTGTAAGTTGCATTTATGTCTTCTCCTTACTACCTCTTTCCCCTTTCTCTTTGTTTTTCTACTTTATTTAAAAAGCACTCTCTGTATGCTGCCTCCCATCTCGGCCTACTGTGTGAACTCTTTTCTAGTGTCGTCACTCCAATACCACTCTAGTTAAGCAAACAGGCACTAGTGGTTTCCTGAGCTGCTCAGCGATGGGCACAGTTCCGGGCCACTACCCTGCCACACTGGAGCCCGTTCCACTGTGGTTCTGGGATTCTTTCTTTTCCTGGAGCCTATCCGGGGAGTTTCCTTGTGTCTGCGCCTCTCTCTCCTGAGTAGGTAAAGGCCTGTCTGGGAACCATTTACTTCAGAAAGTACACAGAACTTGTATATATCATACAAGTTTTCCCTCCCTGAAGGCAGTAGCCCTTTTGGACTACATAGCTCAGGTTAGCCATGAATGAGCTCACAGTTCCTTTGCATCTTGAAAGCTCAGATGATACAAGTATGCTACCATGACCAGCCCCAGATCTCTTTTTGAAGTTTGTGGTTAAAAAGCAAGTTCTTAAAAGTGGTGGAATGCATATAATTCCAAAATATCAATCTATTACTTGCTTGTATACTGTTATAATAACTTGATAAAATTTACCATACTCGAATAGGTAAAGCAATGTGTCTTTTTTGGATTAGGTTAATGGCTGGTTATTTTTGATACTGGGCACTATGATTCAGAAGTTAACGTGTCTATGTTTCAGAACACACAATTCTACTTGGGAAAAGTTTAATATTGTTAATCTTGGTGGGTGGTGGTGGCAGCACATACCTTTAATTCTAGCATTTGTTAAGCAGGTGGATCTCTGAGTTCGGGGCCAGCCTGGTCTACAGAGCAAGTTCCAAGAAAGTCAGAGATACAGAGAAACCCTGACTCAAAAAGCTAAAAAACAATTTAAAAAGGTAAATAAAATTTAAAACTATTGTAACTCTAATTTGGGTGTGGTGGTGGACAGCTATAATTTCAGTACTCAGGAGGCAGAAGTGGAGTTGGAAAGATCAGAAGTTCAAGGTCACTCACTATGTGAGTTTGAGGTCAACCTGGGCTATATGACACTCCAAGATAAATAAATGAAAACAAAAAGGAGTGCTGAAACTTTGCTAAATATCAACTAACCGAGAGATTATACCAGGGCTTGGTAGCAGATAATCTCCAAAACCAATCGAAAGCTTTAAAGACTGCTGTACCCAACATCAAAGGGCCCAGGAGAACAGGCAACACTGGCATGGGGCTCTGTTCTCAGGGCATGGATGATGCCTCCAGTCCTGTTCTCTGATTCTTTGGCTTACTTCAGGACACTCTCAACTGGGGACAGGAGAACAGGAGGAGAAAAGATGACTGCAGCCTCTCCAATGACTATCTCAGCCTAGAAATAGCCTTTGTGAGGAGGAAGAAATGGCAGAAGACAGACTTAGCCCACCTCTGCCTAAACGCCCTCGAGCCTGAGAGGTTCAGGTGTCTAGGCAAACATCTTTCCAATGCACTTCTTTGAAAAGTAAAATATTCTGTTACTCAAATGGGGAGGGGTGCTTCACGCCACACAACGCACTTACAACAAAATCTTATGAAGAAAGGATACATGTTCATCTCTGAGTTTGAGATCAGACAGTTTGAGACATGGTGAGTTTGAAGCCAGCCAGGGCTACATAGTAAGACCCTGTCTCAAAAACAAACAAAAAGGTGCCTGTGACATAAGCACAGAAATCCAGATGGAATCAGAACAAGATGAGACAGTATTACTTAAAGAAAAAGAGGGCAAACTATAAAGGCTACCTTAGGCTACAAACTCCCTCGTCCATGTGCAAAATACAGCCTCTCCTAAGAAATGAAGGTCTTTTTACAGAGGCAACCCATCACACATAGCCTTATAGCTTGCGCCTGCTGCAATCTGCATCGTCATGACCACACTAGCACAGTAAGGCCTTACTCTCTGCATGGTGGCTGCTGACCGAGTGCTGGTCACCTGCAGCCTCCCCGAATGTATCCATGAGAGGATTCAGACCCAGTATGCCCACAGCTGTACTCGATAAGTCTCCCTTTATCCTCTCCATCTGGAAGTGACATCCTGCCCTTGGGAGAACTGAAAACACAGGAATTCAGTCGCTGAAATCACCTCCCTTGTAAGTAAGTCCTTTGCAAGCTTGTGTGACAAGGATGCTAAGACACTGTAGAATCAAACAGCCATAGGCAGATCCTCCTGCCTTAGCCTCCCATGGCAAGCATGTGACACCGTGCCCAGCTTCACTTTTTTTTTTTTTTTTTTTTTGATCTCAGTTGAGAAGTATCTTCAGATCTCCACTTTTCCCTCCCCAGCAACTCAACTGTTTGACTGTTTTCAGGGGGTCAATCTGGCTTTTTTCTTCAGCCCTTTCACTTCACCAGAAGCATCATTACAAACAACAGAGTCTTCTATACAGCATTATCTCTTAAATTCATTTAGGGGATACTGACCAAGCCCTAACGGGTTCAAGTCCCATATGACATCATCCTATGGGTTTACTATGGCACAACTACTTTGAAATAACAGACCACTGACAGGAGAACTTGAGACATGTAGCACAGACACTGACATCTTATGTATTGATATGATGGGAAAAAAAACAAGAAATATCTAATTTTTCTTAGGATTATAAGTGAACAGAGATTCTCATGGCTGTGGAGAACATAGGTGAACACACACATCAAGCGATTGACAGTATGTTCACGTTGACTGAACAATAAATAATGAGAGAAGAACTCAGGTGAGTGGTTAACTCCTTAAAATATCATGTTTTCTGTGTATGAGTGAAGATATCCATGTTGGCAGCAGAGCAGGGAACATGGCCCTAGGAGGGGAGGTGAACTCTTATGAAAGGCTCCTTCTCCTTTAAGAGCACACAATGAGCAATAATCCCTCCACTTCTTCTTGAATTGGTTCTCAGCCCACTCTGTTCTGCAGGAAACAGGAGTCTCTCAGGTGCCACTGTAATTTCTATGTCTTAACTCACATACGAAGCTGAATGTCCACTAGACAGACAGACTGACAGCCTACTCTACATCTGAAATGACTATTGACCCCCCTCCCCTCCGGAAGCATGACATGACCCTCTCCATAAGATGGCAGGTCAGCCCATGGACATGAAGAGGCACAGGAGCAAGGGAGGAGACAGCAGGCCACTGTCACACTTACTTGCCAAAGCCTTTTTGCCAGCTGCATGGTAGGCTACGATGTATTTCCGCCCCTCTCTATCCTCTGTTTTTGTCTCTAGTCCTGGGAAGAGAGATTTAATGGCTTGATGGATGATGGTTCGTTTCTCTTTGGTGTCCTCAATGACCTATTGATAGCGGGGGAAATAGCATTAGTTAACAGTATTAAACAGGAAAATAACACAGTTAGGGAAGACACGGCTAGGTTCATCAATTCCACAAAGTCAACAAGAATGCTTGCCTAGTGTTTCAGATATTTCTGATATTTCGGATCCCGAGGGCTTGTTGATGGAGCATGTCCATCTGGATACACTACACAAGGCCCTCAGACGGACCTCCTCCTGTAATCTCCACAATCCCCCTGTTAACGCACTGCTGTGCCAGTTTAACTTTGGTGGTCTAGTGAGTTCCAGGACAGCCAGGGACACACAGAGAAATCCTGTCTCAAAAGACAAAAGAAAACAAAACAGAACACCAAAGTTAGACCGGGGGCTGTAGAGACAGTTCAGCAGGAAAGAGCAGTGGCTGTCCTCCCAGAAGACCTGGGTCCATTCTCGGCACCCCCATGGCAGCTCACAACTGCCTAAAACTCCAGTCCCAGGAGGTCTGATACCGCCTTCTGGCCTCCTTGTGCACCAGGCACATATGTGGTACCCAGGTATATGTGATGCAGGTAAAACACCCATAAACATAAACATAAAAAAAGAATAAAGTTCAAACTTCTGTTAGCATCATCAGGCACATCTGTGACTTCACAGCAATCAGGCATCTTTACTGCCAGCTCACAGGGACTTGGTGTCATCTCTAGGCAACAGCTCCTGCCTCTGTCCTTTTGCACGTGTCATCCCCGCCCCCACGTCACTTTGTGCAGATAAAAGACTCATTCTCCCTGTCCCCCTCTCTTTTCTCTCTCCCAGAGGCTGCTTCTGACCCCCCCTCCAGTAAGCCCCCGATATGAGACCTGCCACATGGAGTCATCTGTATGGGACCATGCTGCCTACCTCTAACAACGTCAGCAGACCACATAGCTTCCAGGGTGACAGTTCTGTTACACACGGGCAATGTACACAAGGGGAAGGCACAGGGAAACCTGTGCTCTAGCTTGTTACATATTATTTAACTGATTCTTTGTGAATTTCACATCATGTACTCCAATCCCTCTTATCTTTTGGCCCTTTGCAACATCCCCCTAAAAAAAACAAAACAAAATAAAACCCAAAACCAAAACCAAATTAAAAAACAACAAAACTTGTCACGGAGGTTGTGGTGTGTGGAGGTTGTGGTGTGTTACACCCTTCTGCCCAAATAGCTTCACCTGCAGATGTTCACTGCAATGAGTGAACTGTGTGGTTTAAGACCTTTAATCCCATCGCTTGGGAAGCAGAGGCAGGTGGATCTTTGTGAGTTTGAAGCCAGTGTGGTCTTCATAGTACATTCTAGGATAGCCAGCTCAACATAAGAAACCCTGTCTCGAAAGACCACCCCTCTCAAAAAAACTCTTTTTTTTTTTTTTACTTTGTGTGTGTTTACTTGTTCATTTATTTTTATTTTTCATACATTGCTGTTTTGTCTATACTGGAGAGAGTCAGATCCCCTAGAACTGGAGTTACAGACAGCTGCATGCTGTCGTGTGTGCTGGGAATTGAACCCAGATCCTCTGCAAGAGAAGCCAGTGCTCTTAACTGCTGAGCCATCTCTTCAGCCCTCATGTGTATGTTTGCTTCCAGGTATGTATTTGTACTACATGTGTACCTGGTGCCCTAGACGGTCAGAAGAGGGCATTGGATCTCCTGGAACTAGAGTTTCAGAAAGTTGTGAGCCACCATGTGGGTGCTAGGAATTGAACTCAGATCCTCTGCAAGAACAAGTAGTCTTAACTGCTGGTCATCTCTCTAGCCTCAGCTGTTGGCCATGGAGGATGATAAAGCAGGAATGGGGAGAGGACTGGCTCAGGATGTAGAGAAGCTGAAGAAGCGAATTGTTGGGCTGAGCTCCGAAACTACTTACTACTGACGGCCGTTTAAAAAAAGCCCCCAAATAGACTTTATAAGATTTTTTTTGGATAAACGTGATGGTGAGTGTCTTTAATCCCAGAACTTGTAAGGCAGAGGCAGTCAGATCTCTGAGTTCCAAGACCAGTCAAGGTGACATAGTCATGCCAAGTCTCAAAACAAACAAACAAAAACCAACCATTTTTTCCTGGTCCACATGAGATCTTATCTCAAAACAAAACCAGAGGGAAGTGGGGAGACTCAACGCAGAGCTCATGACTGGAATGAAGGAAGCCTTTGATCTCCAGTACCACATTTAGTTAACACCACAGTATCACTACATGGGCTAACCTAGGGAAATACAATTCCACAAGAAAAAGCTTGAATGGCGGCACTGGTTTCTACCTGTTATCTAAGCTCTCCTTTTCTCAGACAGCAGTGGATTCAGGCTGAGCAAAGGGGCCCCTCCTCTGCTTCCCCTCTCCCTCCTCTCCCCTCTTAGTCCCTCAGAGACTAAGATGCTGTAAGGCCAGAGCACCCTGCCAGGGTATGGCGCCTGACCACCATGGAGGGACGAATCTGTCTGTGGTTCTAAACAGCAGATCTTGGTTACACTGCGCTCACAGACTTTCTTTTTGTAGAAAAAGATTACTTTGCTAGCCAGGCATGGTGGAAATTGAGGCTGAATTTTAGGCCAGCCTGGGCTATAGAGAGATACACTGATCACTATAATCTCAGCATGTGCATGATGGAGCTAGGTTCAAATCCAGCCCTCACTGAGATCCTGCTTCAGTAAGAATAAAACCAAACCAACTTTTTCCTTTGATATACTTATCCTGAAGTTGATTATTTGCCCTGATTTAAACAATATACTCTATTGATGGTAGACTGTGCCCTTTGAAAGCAGTAAGATAAGTCACCGTTTTGTTAAGCACATATTCTTCAGTGGTCAAGTGTTAACATCTACCCTATGGGAACAGCCCAGCCCCGAGACCTCACTTCCTGCACTGCTTACCTCGATGGCAACACTGGTTTCTTTATTTTTGAAAAGCTGAAGCTCCTCCAACTGCTGCTTGTTCTCAGCGGTCAAGACAGTGAGAGCGTCTTCTGGAGGGTCCTTTAACCACAAGAAAGCAAGAGAGTCATACACAGACGGTAACACTGCATTTCCAGGATCACTGGGAAGAGTGACAACATACAGAAGATGGCTTTCTATTCTAGAGACATTTTTACCTCTTCGTCCACTGGAACAGATAAGTCATCCAAATGGCTGATTCGTCCATCTTTCCCAATTTCGTGAACCACAAAGTCAGAGTATCTAATGAAAAAAAAACCAAAGCATTCAAGAAGTGGATGTTGTTTTGCTTTCTAATTTCAGGACAAAGTTTACTATCATTCAAAACAAGAGATTTAAAGAAAATCTTTATTGTCAAGTAATATCAAGCAATTTTCTCTTATTTTAATGACACTGAAATGCATTCAGTTTTATACTAGAAGCTTCTAAAATATTATCATAGAGAATATGTTCAAATGCAAAAGGAAAGTTCATTAATATTTAGGGCCACATCAGTATAGAGCTCAAGCAACTGCGTTTGAAGTGAAAAGGCCAGGTGTGGTAACGCAGGCCTGGTGTCTGCTGGGGAGGCAGAGATGAGAGGATCCCTGCAGTCTGCTGGCCTGCAGGTCTACATGCACTGGTGGGTCCGAGGCTTTACGACTGTCTCAAAAACAATACAGAAGGATTGAAGAGATAGCTCCATGGTTAAGAGCGTTAGCTGCCCTTGTAGAGAGCATGGGCTTGGTCCTCAGTAACCTCATGGCAGCCCACAACTGTCTGCAACTGCAGAGCCAATGGACCTGATGCCCTTTTCTATCTTCCTTAGGCACTGTGCACATGTGGTACAGAAAAACACATCCAGGGACTCACATCATACACATAAAATCAACCTTTAAAAATAACCATGTGGAGAGTGACTGAGGAGGGCACCTGAGGTTGGCCTCTAGCCTTACACACACACACACACACACACACACACACACACACACACACACCCCTCAGTCTATATTAAAGTCATAAATACAGTCATTAGTTAGCTAAAACTAAATAAGTTAATTAAAAATACTTAAATCAGAATGCAGTAAGCCCGTCCTAAGCTACCATGAAAGCTTGTTTCCACGAGCACACTTAACACTCCAGCGATTCTCACTGTGGTAGCATTCTCTACCTTCTAGGTATGAACACTGAAGCTCAGGAGCCTTAAACACCTCCTAAGACCTGAATGGGATCATATCCAATTTCTGGCTCCAAATAACCCCTTCCTACTGAAGATATGGTCTATTCAGATGAAAAAGTTAAGATTATATGATGAATTAAAAAAAGAAATAAAAAACCTTACATGTCTAAAAAAATTCAACAAAACAAGTACCACCCCTCTACACACAAACATTAACAACCTGTATCACTGGGAAATTCTGTTTATTCAAACAGTCCTACAAGAGATCTCTCCTTGACAAGAACTAAGAATTCATACTGTGAATAAAAAGCCTAACTGCTTTATGTAGCAAGAACCTGTTAGGAAAGAATGAGATTAAAAGCAAAAGAAACAGAGGAAAAACAGAAAGAAAAAAGTATCACAGAAACAGTGCAGCAAGAGGGCCTTCCTGTTGTGCATATGGTTTAGGCTGAAAGCCTAGTAACAGACTCAGCATGCTCAAAACCCAAGACCATTTCCTTACTCAGGCAGCTCCCTGATACTCTGGCCCACTTTTTTATCACAGGTGTAAACAATCCTTGGGTTTAGAAAAGTCAAGGGGCTAGAGATGGCTCAGTGGGTAATAGCCCTGGCTATTACCTTCCAGAGGTCCTGAGCTCAATTCCCAGCAACCACATGGTGGCTCACAACCATCTGTCATGGGATCTGATGCCCTCTTCTGGCCTTCAGGTGCATATGCAGCAGAGCATCATACATTAAACAAAATTTAAAAAAGAAAAACACAAAACAAAACCAGAAAGCTGAATGTAAAGGTACACCCCTAAGTTCCTAACACTCAAGAGGCTGAGGACTGAGAGCTCAAGCCGACCGACGGTCAGCTGTCTCAAAACACAAACAAACCAAGGTGAGTTGTGTTTTTTTAAAGACCAGAAAGATGGGAAGATGGGAGAAACGGAGGAGGGAGCAAAGAGAGAAGGAGAGTGGAAGGGCCGGGACTGTAGTGCAGTAGCTGAGCTTGGCTAGCATGAATAAATCCTAGGAAGAAATAAGGAGAGAAAGCTAAATACAAGACTGTATCGCTGACTTCTTTCTCAAGGAGAGTATTAGCTCAACCAAAGCCAGCATGCTCGCTAAACACACCTTTCTTTTAGGATCCCCGAGAAGCCTTGATGGGAACTCACAAACTTGGTGATGCCCACATCAAGTTCAGTGAGCCCGTGCTTCATCATGTCCGCAAAACTCTCCGGTTCCTCCTCTTCCCCTGCCTCTGAAAGGCCGTCTTCCTCCTCCTCCTCCACTTCCTCCTCTTGCACCCGAGTGCTGGAATTCTTGCCATCTTTCACAGCGCTTTCAGCTTCTGGAGCCCCAGGCTCACTCTCACTGTGGTGTAGACCGTCATTCTCTATCCCATCCTGACTGCTGGTCAGACAGCCCTCGGACACCTTCTGCTTCTTTGTCTCCTCTTGTGGGGTCACGCTGTCATTATCTTCCACAACAAGGCACCCTCGTTTCAGGGACACACTTGTCATTTCCATCTTTAAGGCTCCAAGAAAACATTGACAGAGGAGAAAGAGTAGAACGTTAACAATCTCCCATAAAGAGGCTGGTTTGGCAAACAGAAGCACGCTGAACTTTGTGCAGAGAGTCCTTAAAAAAATAATTTATTACAGTAATTCTCAGGGGTGTGCAGAGATGGCTCAATGATTAAGAAGAATACTTGCTGGGAGCTGGAGAGATGGCTCAGCAGTTAAGAGCACTGACTGCTCTTCCAGAGGTCCTGAGTTCAATTCCCAGCAACCACATGGTGGCTCACAACCATCTGTAATGGGATCTGATGCCCTCTTCTGGTGTGTCTGAAGACAGCAACAGTAGATTCACATATACAAATTAAATAAATAAATCTTCAAAAAAAAAAAGAAAGAAAGAAAGAAAGAAAGAAAGAAAGAAAGAAGGAAAGAAAGAAAGAAGAACATGTGCTGATCCTCCAGAGAACCCAAGTTTGGTTCCTAGCACACATATAAGGTGGCTCCCAACCACCTGCAGGTCCAGCTCCAGGGGAATAGACACTCTCTTCTGGACTTCTAAGGCAATCGAAAATATGTGGCACACACCAACACACATACATATAAATAAAATATGAAATTAACTTTGAATGAGAAAAAAAGTAATTCTGACATTGCCGTGCAGACTAATGTATAAAAGAAGAAAACTAGCACAATAGCTTGTACCAGAAGTTATGAGAGTAGTCAGGTCTGGTGGCACATGCCTAGAATCCTAGCATTTGAGAGGTAGATGCAGGTGGATTTCTGTGAGTTTCAGGCCAGTGAGGGCTATAAAGAAGGACCCTTCTTCAAAAAACAAACAAGCAAACAAACAAACAAGGTACACACACACACACACACGTCATTTTAAGCCAGAATTATGTGGGGTTTTTTTGTTTTTTAAGGAATTTTTCTTAAGAGCATAATTTAGAAAGGGGCTGGCAAGATGGCTTAGCAGTTAAGTGTATTTATTGCTCTGGCAGAGGACCTGGGTTTGGTTCCTAATACCCTCCTACACAGTGGTACACAACCATCCCTAACTTGTTTCAAGGGATCTGATGCCTTCTGACCTCTGCAGAAACCAAACATGTGTGTGGTATATATGCACACATGCTGGTTAAACTCTCACACATATAAAATTTGAAAACTAAAAACAGCAGCAGCAGCAGCAGCAGCAGCACCACCACCAGCAGCACCACCACCACCAAACAGAATTTAGGAGCTAAAGGGATGGATGGCTGAGAAGTCAAGAGTACTTGCTGCTCTTTCAGAGGACTCAAGTTCAGCTCCCAGAACCCCCATGTAGTAGGCTCACAATCAAATCCTGTCACATCAATTCTAGGGGATCCAGTGCTCTGTCTTGGTGTGTGCAGGTATCTTTGTACAACAGTACATGTACAGACAAGCAGGTACACATACATACACATAAAACAAATTAAAAATAAGTAAGCTGAATAAGTCAGGCACAACTGTCTAGGAACTGCAAAAGGCAATTCCTTCCTGGGGAGGATCTAGGTGGTAAGGGAGGACCTAGGTGGTGAGGGAGGACCCAGGCAGTTAGGGAAGACCTAGGTGGTTAGATAATAACAGTTGTGTTTCTGCCATTATTTTATTATAACCTTGCTCTAGGCATACGCATTATCTTTTCAAAACTGATAAAATACAGTAGCATAAAACAAAAGCACATGTACCAAGAGTTATGGGGAGCTGTTGTATAGTACCTATAAAGTCAGCCAGGTATGGTGTTATACACGGGCAATCTCAGCACTGAAAGGTAGAAATAGAAGGACCAGGAGTTCAAGGCCAGCGAGGGATACAAGAGATTCTGACTCAAAACAGCAAGAAGGTAGTTAGTCAGTAAAGTGCTTGCCTCGAACAGACGAAGATCTGAACTTGATCTTTATCATTCATAGTTTTTTTTCCCCTTTCTTCTACAAAAAGCCTGGAGGCTGGCAAGGTGGAGACAGAAGGATTCTCTGGGGCTCTCTGCTAGCCAATCTAGCTGAATTGTTGAGCTCCACATTCAGTGAGACCTCTTCTCAAAAGTAAGGTGCAAAGCCAGCAAGTGAGCTCAGTGTAAGGGCGTGAGAATGCCAGACTTGGTAAGTCTTCAGGACTCACATGGTGGAGGGGGAGAACTGACTCCCATAGTGTACACACACACACACACACACACACACACACACAGACACACACACACAATTACACAGACACGAGATAAAAGGAATACAAAACAAATCATAATTGTAAATATACAAGGTAGGGCTTTAACTCTTAACTCTCCAACCTCAGCCTCCTGAGTGCTAGAATTGTAGAAGTGTTCCACTATACCAGTTATTATGTGTACATCACCACATTTAAAAAGACACAGTCAGGCTGGAGAGATGGTTCAGTGGTTAAGAGCACTAGGTGCTGTTCCAGAGGTCCTGAGTTCAATTCCCAGCAACCACATGGTGGTTCATGACCATCTATAAAGGGATCTGATGGCCTTTTTTTGGCATGCATGTGAACATGCAGCAGAGCATTCATAAATAAAATAAACAAAAATAAATTAATATGTGAAAAATAAAAAAAATCTAAAAAATGTTTAAAAAATTAATTTAAAGACATAGACAAAAAACAAGATTACTTAACTGGACTATCTGCAATATACAGAGCAAAATCTAAGACAGCACACACCTGTGCCCAGTAAAGAAGAGCTTAGGAAAGGATCAAACGCAGGGCAATCAAAATAAAGATATTCCAGATGTGTGCATCTAACTACTTGATCTTACTGGAAATTGGAGTTAAGAATGGAAGTTTTTCCTATTCTTATTACAAAGAGATAGAAAAGTGAACTTATCCTTAAAAACCATAAATGAGCTCTAAAAATATTCTAGTCCTCTAAGGTTAATGAAAAACTAGAAACAGCCATGGATAGATAATAAAAATAAAGCAAATCCTAAGACTTGGCAGATCTTACTTCATGGCAGACATATGAGCACGTGAGCAATCATTGAGGAAGAGTACTTACAGTAATGGGCTCCAAATAATCAGGTCCTAGAAGAGCCTGATGCCCATCCAGAGACCACACAACTCTCAGCAGACGGGCAGGCACAGGCAGCAAAAGCCATGCATGCAGCCTGCCTCAGGGACTTTACAGTCAGACTGCCCACCTCACTCCCAGATGCAAAGGGAACACGAGACCTTGGGAGTCAGATCCCAGGTCTTGCCATTTAGTAAGTGGCTCCCTTACTCTGTCTTAAATTGTTGGAAAACTAAACCACGGTGCCTTGGCTAGTCTCTGATATCTGCTGCCATCCACCTTGGCTCATTGGCATTTATTGTTCCCTGGAAAGAGGGGACATGGCATACGGGATGCTTTTTTTGAGATACGGTCTCCCCACATAGCCCTGGCTGTCACCTGCCTCTGCTTCCTAAGTGCTGGGATTTAAGGTATGTGTCACCACGGCACGTCCCTGGGATACTTCTTACTCAGTTTTTGACTCTTGAGCTATTGCTGCTGCTTAACCATGGTTTGCTCCTTTAGACACGATTGTTTTTTGAGACAGGGTCTCATGAAATGCTGAGCACGATAAACAAGCATGCTAACAATGAACCACACTGTTCTGTTCTCACTTTGAGACAGGGTCTTGCTAAGATGCTCGGAATGTCCCTGATAATGTAGCCGGGTGGGCTTTGAACTTGTGATCTTCCTGCTTAGGCCTGAAAGGCCAGGCATTACTTTCTTTAATGGCAGAACTCCCTCCACATCCTAATCTGAAAAACTGTTAAGTTTATCAGAGCCATCTGCTCTAACCTTTATTGAGCATATCCTGGGTAGGCAGTAGAGAAAAATGGAAGACGTCTTGCCATCAAACAGATTACAGCCTACTTAAAGATATATTTAAAAACAAAATAAATTTGTGGGGGATATGCTCAGAAGCAGAACATTTGTCTAGTATGCCCTAGGTTCAGTCCTTGGTATTGCAAACAAACAATCCCAGTATCAGGACATGCAAGCCACTTAGAAGTAAAGCAGAGAAAGGTGTGGTCTGGGGTGAAGCCACACCTACCCAGATGACCCACTTACTAAATGGCAAGACCTGGGATCTGACTCCCAAGGACCGGTGTTCCCTTTGCATCTGTGAGCGAGCTGGGCAGTCTGACTGTAAAGTCCCTGAGGCAGGCTGCGTGCATGACTTTTGCTGCCTGTGCCTGCCCGTCTGCTTTAGGTCTGTAAAAGTGTTTTAGTTTTAAAGACTTGAAGAAAGTAGACCTGAAAAATGTGAGCGTTCCATGGGAGCAGAACAGAGCCTGCGACCCCAGCTAGGAGTCAGGGTAACAGACATGCTGCCAACTCTCAGGCTCCTCGGTGCCCTGTATTGCACCAGGCTCCAACAGAGGTGTTGAACAGCTGGCAGTGACCCAAGCCTAGGAGTTCCAGGCCAGCCTGGTCTACATAGTAACTTCTGTCTCAAAACAAAAGAGGTATGTGTTCAAATGAACTTATTAAATTAACAAATTCTGACTGTTGGCTATTTGCTAATGACTGGACATGATTTCCCCTTTCTCACTACAGTGAACAGTCTGATTTCTGACAGCTCCTTCAATAATAAAGCCATTGCCCTGACACTGGGACACAGTGTTTTACAGGTGGCCATGGATTTTTGTTGTTGTTTAAGAGTGGAAACAAACCAAAGTAACAGCTATATTTTAGAGATTTTTTTTTCTTTTTTAAGAAGTGGCCTTGAGCCGGGCGGTGGTGGCGCACGCCTTTAATTCCAGCACTCGGGAGGCAGAGGCAGGCGGATTTCTGAGTTCGAGGCCAGCCTGGTCTACAGAGTGAGTTCCAGGACAGCCCGGGCTATACAGAGAAACCCTGTCTCGAAAAACCAAAAAAAAAAAAAAAAAAAAAAAGAAGTGGCCTTGAACTAAACTCTCTTCCAACTCTTCTTCCTTGACAGGCACTAGTTAACAGCAACGTGTTGGTCATTTTAAAGCCCCTCAGTGAA